CTTCTTCACACGCTCATTCTGGTTACTTTTGCGCTCATTTCTACATTGTTCAATATGAATGATGACTTCTTTTAGCTGCATAGATGGATGTGGACAACGAAATAGAAGATCTAAACGTCAGTTTTGACGGCTTACTGGACAGTGATGAAGAGGACTTCGATGAGATGGTGGAACAGTTTGGGGAAGCGCTTATTGCTGGCACTTCGGAAGAAGACGAATTCTATGATGAACAGGAAGAACTTGACTTGAGCAAATGGAATTCAACATAGTAAAACCAGTACGTCCAAAATCTTTCCGGAACATCTGGCATTAACACTAGATTAGTTCGCGATGCATGCACTCCGCTGGATTTCTACTTGTTATTCGTGAATGATGAACTGCTAGAACTGATTTCCTTAGAAATCAACCGATATGCAGGACAAAATGGTCGAAGCTTCCAGCCAAGGAATCCGAAGAACTGAAGGATTTCTTAGGCATTATCATTCAAATGGGATAGTTGTGCTGCCTAAACTTGACGTTCACTGGTCATCGGCAATTGAAATGTGCATCTGTTCAAGGATGTCACTGTATTAATGCAAAACCTGCATTTTGCTAACAATATGGAGTCACTCATCAAAGACCTTCAAAATCTATCCTTTCATCCGAAATATTCGTGAGAAACAGCAAATCACTGTACACTCCTGGATGAAATATATGTATAGATGAGTCGCTCGTGAAGACTGCGATTTCGCAAGTATATTCCCAACGAACGCCACAAATACGGGATTAAAGTGTTTCAAACTATGTGCCAAAAAGGTGGATAAACCTACAACATGAATATTTACAGTGGCCAAGAAGAAAATCATGAAAACACAATTGCTCAACGTGTTGTTTTGGATTTGTGTTCCGATCTACTGAATGAAGGACGACATCTGTATACAGACAATTTCTACACTAGCGTATTTTTGGCCAGAAATCTACTGGAAAATAACAACGCAGCTCATCGGAACCCTTAGAAGAAATAGAAAGATGAATCCTAAGGAGGTTGTGAACAAGAAGCTAAAGAGGACGGAATTCGTCGCTGCACAAGAAGATAAAATTATGGTCATGAAGTGGAGAGATAAGAGAGATGTTTTCATGTTATCAACTATTCATGCTGATACGTTTGTGGAGGAAAAGAGGAAGCGCTGCAAGTGGTATCTGGATTACAACCAAAGCAAATCGTTCATCGACATCTCGGGCCAAATGGCTGCATATTGCCCTTATGCAAGGAAGAGCGTGGATTGGTACCTATTAATCTTCTTTCACACTGTGATTCAGATGGCAAAACGCCTTACACATTTACGAGCAGCAGCTTCAAAGGAAGATGAAAATTGTGGATTTCAAGCGCCAGATTGTCAAAGAATCAATGAAGGAAACATCCCTACAACAAGGAAAAGACATCTACTCATCCCAATCGAAGTCAACGGCAGAAATCTATGGAGAAGATGAAAGAATTGTCACGCACGAATATCCACTGAACATGGATCGACTGTTGCCAAAATGGGTCAAACTAAACAGGTCAAAATTCAAAGTGATCGATGCAAGAAGCCATGGTGTTGGGGATGTTTCCAGACTTATCATCGAAACTGTTGCGAATCAACAAGTATTGTTGTCATATTGAATAAATACACTGATCGAATATGTTTAAATCAACATAATTGTTAAATTTATAATGTGTTTTGTTAACTTAACACTAATTATCACTAGAAGCCTTCCTAACAAGGTATTGATGCGGAACTACCGTAAGAAGTGCAATTACCGTGCCTTTCTCTGTTACTTTGTAAGGTTAATAAATGACTCCAATGGCGCCGTTATTTCACTAGCACAATCAAGGACTAAGCATAAGCTAAGCTCACTGAACATATACACTCGGTGAGAATGGTTCAAATCGCACCATTATCCTCGACAAAACCGACCCACAAAACGTGAATTGTGGGCAATACACAAATGCGAGAAACCGGGAGTAAGCGCGTGTACTGCTGACCAATCCACGCGGCTTTAGATGGTCTTAAGCGCTTTAACTTTACGTTGTGTTAACTTTTTATATTTCAAGTACTTTCAACGCAACGACGCTTTGCATCGAAAGCTGGCACATCGAGTATCTGACACTCACCGCAAGTCAGGAAGCTCAAGTACGACTTCATCGCACTGACCGAGACGATGAGGCATCGCCTGCTACGCGCCGAATACGAAACTGGAGAGAACTGTTCCTCGGAACATGCGACAACAGAGGCGTTGGCGGTGTGAGCGTCCTCGTCAATACGCACATGGCTATGGACGCACATTGATCCGTACGAAAATCTGAAGACCCGAATCGGACGTTTGCGATAGAAGATGTGGTTCCACTCCGGGCTCTGACAGTCTTCGTCGCCTACGCACCAACATCAAGCTACAACGAGGATGAGCTCGCAGAATTCCATGTTGTATCGGAGAAGTTCTACGAGGAATACAATACAGTGCTAAGATCGGACGGAGAAGAACGGCGAAGAACTTCACATCGAATTCCACGGAACAGAATGGAATGAGCGGGAAATGCTGTTTGAGTTTATCATGTCGACCCACACCATCCGTGGTAACTCGCAGTTCTAGAAACCTACTCTCTTCGCTATTCTACATTGGATCCGACCATCATCTCCTTCGCGTAATATTCCGCTTTTCGATGCGAGAGAGAGAGCCGCAAAGTTCAAGAAGCGAAGCCCCAAGACCGTCATCAACTGGGATCACTTCACTTCTCTCGCTGGGCTCTGGGAGGATTCTGTCATCGACAACATCGACGAGGAATACGAACGGCTTGTCGCACATCTTCACGACTGCGCCAAGAAGTCAGAGGTTCCAAGATTACCAAGATACGTTTATCTCTGGAAACTCTATAGCCCGCCGCGAATTCGCCAACTGTAAGGCCAAGATGATCGGCTTTCGCCATTCGGACGGAACATTCACTGCGTCCCGAAGGGCAATGGAGAAGGTCATCCACGACTTCTACTCTGATCTCTTTGACAGCCACGTCCACCTGCCACCATACCGCTTGGAAAGAATGGATACGTCGTTCCTGCAGTTCTCCCTTCCGAAGTCCGACACGCCATCTCGTCGGTGAAGAATCGTACGGCACCCGGTCCCGACAGGATCAGACCCGAACATCTGAAGAATCTTCCGCCAGTTCTTGTCAAAACTCTGGCTCGACTCTTCACGCGCTACCTGTCGGAATGCAAGGTACCCACCTCGTGGAAAACCAGCAAGACTGTGTTGCTGTACAAGAAGGGAGACCTGTACGACATTGGCAATTATCGCCCAATCTGCCTGCTGTCTGTAGTCTACAACGCGGGAACCTTATATCCGGCGCAAACTCTTCAAACTCTTCCTGAAAAGGATTAGAACACTAGGTAAAGGACAGCCATGTAAGCAAGTAGGGTTTCGAAGAGGATTCACCACGAATGATCACATCCACACGGTAACGAAGCTCATTGAAGTATCGCGAGAGTACAAGATGCCGTTATGTCTCACGTTCATCGACTTGAAGAAAGCCTTCGACTCCGTTGAGACAGAAGCGGTTATCGAAGCCCTGGGCAGCCAGGGTGTTCCTACTCACCATTCTACGAAGAGATCATCATCGACGTGAAGAGAGGGGTCCGACAGGGCGACACCATCTCGCCCAAGCTCTTCAGCGCCTCTCTCGAGAACATGCGTCAACTGGAATGGGAAGACATGGGAGTGAAGATCGACGGTCGGCAACTACACCATCTCCGCTTTGCTGACGACATCGTTTTGATAACACCAAACATCGAGCAAGCGGAACGAATGCTGGCTGATTTCGACTGCGCGTGTGGAAAAATCGGTTTGCAGATGAATCTCACGAAGATGTTCATAAGGAATGGATTGGTTTCTGATGCCCCATTATTGCTAAACAGAAGGGACATCTCTGAATGCGCTAGCTGTTCACGGCGGGAAATCAATAGGTTGAACGACTTAGCACCAGAGCTGAGCAGGAGGAAGCGAGCGGCTTGGGGAGCCTTCAAGAACATCGAGGGAGTAGCGAAGAAGACGAAGAACACCAGGCTCCGTGCCCACCTCGATTCCGCAGGTCCTTCCTGCTTTGACTTATGCTTCATGTAGACATGTAATCTACGAAAGCAGGATGAGCATGCGGTAGGCGTTATTCAACGCGCCATCGAAAGGGCGATGCTCGGAGTTTCCCGCTACACGCAAGTGAGAGAGAGGAATCCGGAGCTCCGCATTCCGCCTCTGATTGATGATCAGGGCGCAGCCCCATTTGCCAAGGTTTCGAGACATTTGCCAAGGTTTCGAGAATCAGATGGACCGGACGCGTCATGCGTTTTGAAGACGACCGGTGGATAACCGACTGGATTATACGGGATGTCAAGCGAACAACTGGACGATCACCTGCTCCGATGGTCAAACTGAAAACTCTTTTACGATGGTATGAAGTATCAGTCGCGTCCTTCGAGCAGAGAGAACTCTAGCACATTGCGAGGACGAACGAGATGTTACTGGCGCCCACTCGATTAACTCGATGATCAACGTGAGCACAGGGGACAGCATGAAAGCAGTGCGGAGCTACTGGCACCTGTACTTCTTACGGCTATATATTATCGAACTGAATTCGGCGACACTATCTGCTTTTCTCTCTTGACTCCGCTTTCATTTTATTATTATTTTTTATTCTGTTGAAGTCCTTACCGAGCGTCTTATCCCCTTAAGATCTCTGTCAACAGGAAGACTACAGGGGCCGGGACGAGTTCGATCCGCACGCGGTTCATAGCGGATCTGAGCCTTAATACATGCTTACCAACATAGAGCGCGCAACGCCGTGACACACCACTCTCACTGACCGTCCTCCCTGTTTTGGAGGAACCGCTTCGTCCAGTTACTATTTGAATAGGTCATTAAAATGTTCCAGTCTGGTTAAACTAAGAATTCTCACCGGTTTATCACCTTTCTTATCTCCTTCTCTTTGTCTTGTGTCATTTATCTTTGTCTTTGTCCTTTTCGCCTTTCTTCTTTCCCTCCCTAGAAAATTTTTTACATCCATCATTCCTAAACGACTTGCGAACAGTGTGTTAAAACTTACTTCGCTGAATCGCCCCCAGATAAATCGCTAATCTCTACATCATCATAGCCTTTTTTCTTTAACGGCTTGCCCTTCTCGCCATCTTTTGCAAGATCTTCGATATTCATATCTGAAAGTACTACCGGATGTGAAATCATTTAGTACCATGTGCGCACACAAGAGCAACGCTTTGCGAATTTATGCTTCTAACGGTTTTGTAACGAAAATGATTAATTGTAACATTCGAACGTACAGCTTGATGTTGCTGGTGTCACGTGGAGACTTATATCCTCTCACGGTGTTTGGCTGTAGATGCGAACCACCTGCAACTTTTTCTGACCCGCTTTCTCTTACTGGTGCTCTCGATGCGTCCTCAACCGGCCCACTGCTGGAAGGAAACAGCAGCCTTCCCGCGGCTCCCAAACCCGGCACTCGTGACTTAGCCGGACGTGGTTGCAATGATACCAACCATGTTCACTTCTCTGCAAAATGCCCCAGCAGGCTGCAGTTCTACCTTCTAGAATGCCAAGGATACGCCACCTTAACTGAACTCTGCCTTTGGAAGACGATCTCCACCTTTGCATCATTGCCAGCTAATTTCATAACCGATGTTTGGCGGTGCGGTAGTGATGTCCGCTACTCCACGTGGTGCCACTGGAAACTGCTCCCTTCTGCGGGCTGAGTTAAGCGGACGCTCAATTCCAGGCGACGCGTTATGGGCCGACCTGTGAATACACCCATGTGGAATCACCATGTTTGACGTGCCACGTGAATTCCGATTTATCTGGCGTCCGCAGGAGCCGAGCGCCACTCGCAAGTCCGGCCAGCGTGAAGAGTATGCAGGGCCCTTGATGCTAACTCCGCATTGGGGGGAGTGGAGGGAGAGCAACTAGGCTGGTCTAAAAATCACGCATCGTGTTGAAGGCTCTTGTTGCAACGCTGAACGTTGGGACACTGAGCTAGTTGCTCCCCCTCCCTCCTCCCCAATGCGGTCCTTGCATCAAGGACCCTGCATACTCTTCACACTGGCCGGGACTTGCGAGTGCGTACGAGCTGGCTGGGGCACTAGAGCGTAGAAAGATCGACATCTGTGCCGTGCAGGAGATGAGATGGGCTGGTCGCAAGTCAAAAGAATTGGGCTCGCGGCTTCAAAGCCGTGGTAGGTCGATCACTGGACATGTTGTAGCTGTGAAGGTGTCTTAGCGGTTCCATGACTCAATCACCAGCGTAGTTTGATATGACGACCGTCTAATGAAGAATGTTGTCGCTGTCGAACAACGACTACCACATCTTCTTCGCAGGAGCCCTCGAACTTGATGCTCCAAGCAGTATAAAGACGGGTTTTGGGCTTATCTGGATGGAAAGGCTGCTGAGTGTCACCAGAAGACGGCATCCTTGTTGCTGGTGGCTTGAACGGGCACGATGGCTGCTTGAGATGGGTATGCCAGTCTTGGTGCATTCAAATACGGATCACGGAGCGTCGACGGTGGCGAATCCTTGAGCATGATCTCATCATCCTGAATAGAGGTTTCGAAAACATGACTGCCATTTCTTCGCCTTTTACGGTGGGAGTAGAAGAACACAAACAGACTGTCCTCACCAGGCATTGCGATCAAGAATCGTTATCGACGCTAAGGCAGAGTCGTAAGAAACAGTTATTGTAGTAGCCACGTAGCAGCCCGCTGATCTCACGCTCAGTCTAGCAGGTCCCAGAGAAACAGGCGGAGCGATGCGCTCCAGAGAATCAAGCACTGGCGACAGAAGAAGCGGGAGGCAAGGGTGATTTCTCGCATTCGACTTTCCAAGACCACAACTGTCGACGAAACTTGGAAAGAAGCCATTACTCACTATCCCAGACCGCCCGCTCCGAACTCGGCACAACGAAGCTTGGACAGGGCAGAACTGACAATGCCTAACTGTAGACGGACAACGTCAAAGCGAGGTTTTGCGAGAAGAGGAGGCTCTACCCCGTGTTTCTTGACCACAAGTCAGCTCAAAACTGACGGAATTATCAGCAAGCGAGAAGCCCTGCAAAGAAGGTTGTTGCTGCCGTGCAAGCCGCTTACTTCGATGATGCCAGCAAGAAACTGGGACAACAGTGAGCGACATCTGTACCGACTTGCCTAGTCTCGTCACCGCCAAATCGAAGACGTAGAGAATTTTCTTGGCATAAATGACGAGAGTGGCCACCTTCTGATGAACCGAGAGAGGTTATCTCGGATCAGTACTTGCGTCCGATGATGATCTAGCTCGGAAGTGAGTGTGAAATGATGTTCCATCTCTGGGATTCTCTGCGACAAGAAGATACCAGAACATTTAGGTCTACGAAAATGTCGCCCGATAGTCACCTTGTATACTGTTGAGTGCTGGCCCGCGACCAGAGAAGTCGAAGCCTTCCCTACTGTGATGGAGAAGAAAAACGCTATGCTGGACCACTGGTGTCACGCCTATGGATCAGATTCGATCGATGACATACGCACAGGAGATTCGGTGTATCTCCTATAGCGAACACGATGCGAGAAACGTGCATTTGATGGGGCTGATGCCATTTGGACGCGCCCGCTTTTGGCTGCGAGCTCATTCGGAGGAGGGAAAAACTCACCCATACGCGTTACGGCGCGATTCTTTGACGTCACCGCGGCGGCAAGGCGGAGCGAAAGGCCGTCTCCTGACTGGAGCCCAGTAGTGGATGGCCTACGCCTCCACTACTGGGCTCCACTCAGGAGACGCTTTATGTGGAAGGAAAAAAGAGAGAAAAGAGGATTAAACAGATAGTGGATGCTTACAGGTGAGTCAGGGATCGTAGTGAGAGAATACAGAAAAGCCGACTATCAGGGCCAACGGCGGAACTGGCGAAATAGTTCCCATTCGATTGTGAAAACGACGCAAGCAGCTCCTACGCAAACGTTATACCGTTATAAGGTCACAACCAACTGTTGGCAATTTGCCAAACCTCACCTTAAACGTTTGCGTAAGAGCTGTTTGCGTCGTTTTCGCAATCGAAGGGGACTATTTCGCCAGTTTCGCCAATTACTGAAGCAATTCCTGATAGTCAACTCTTCTGTATTCTCTCACCACTATCACTAACTTACCCGTGAGCATCCACCATCTGTTTAATCCTCTTTTCTCTCTCTTTTCTCTTCTTTTTCCTTCCACATAAAAGCGGCTGCTGATTGGAGCCTAGTGGTGGAGGCAGGCCATCGCTTTTCGCTTCGCTGTGTCGCCGCGGTGATGTCAAAAAATTGCGCCGCAACGCGCATATGGTGAGTTTTTCCACGGAGATCGAGCTCATTTATGAGGTGCCTAAGTCACCGCAATCCGCTGAAAACTTGTATACAGGGTAACTTAACATCCTGATTACGAATATGACATTCAATCTTGACACTGGCGCCAATGGAGAACACTACGACAATCCTCTAGCAGCGCCTTAGCAGAGCACTGATAATTATAGTGCCCTTCATTAGCGCCAGCGCGCCAGCGCCAAGAATGAATGCCATATTCATAATCAGGACGTCTATTTACTCCCGTATACAAGTTTTCAGCGGATTTGGTGATCTAGGCACTTCATAAATGAGCTCGCAGCCAAAAGTTAGCGCGTCCAAACGGCATTAGCCTTCCGATGCCTCGCCCATGTTCATCGCGCAAAGGTTGAGTTTGTCCGAAAGACTAGCCTTCAGTATAAGGTGCCCAGAAAGCGACCCAGGGACGCCCTGAACAGCGCTGGCTCGATACCAGGGCACAGCGTTCGATGGGGATTCCCTATGGGGGGGGTCGTATTTGGCCGCCAAAAGGGGGGGTCGTATTTGGGCTGGGAAAAATTTATTTTTATAGTTGATTTTTCTCGCTATGGCGGGCGTTTTGGAAGAAGGGGGGGGGGGCTCGATATTTGTCGTTGTTGGAGGGGGGTCGTGATTTCTGGGCTAGAGTTACGTGCTTCACTTGCATGGTTTTAGAAATTTTCGATGTGTATAGTACATATGTCTATGTACGCCGTACGATGTAACGTCGCCATGCCTACTACATACCCCCTACCCCGCTCGACAACTTTTTCGCCGAGTATAAACCACAACCACAGTCAGCCATGTCAGCCATCGTACGAGCATGGGGGGGGGGTCGTACCAGCCCTTGAAAAAGGAGGGGGGGGGGTGTAAAAGCTCGACCAAAATCCCCTCGATGCTGTGCCCTGCTCGATACGCTGCATACAGAATTAAAAGTGGCTGAGAATCCAACGCCGATCAGAGCCATCCTTCAGATCTGTCGGAATACGAGAGTGCGTCATCATATTAGAAGAGGCAGTACTCTGCCACCGTCGGCGGACAAACGCTGAAGACTAAGAAGAAGAATAGGTGTTTGGCAGTGCATTCTCGCTCGCTTTCCGTCTCGTCGACTGTCTCTCTCTTGCGCGTTGGGCATCTCTTCGTCGAATGTTCATACCAACAAAGTTTGATGTCGAGTGTTGCGATTTTTTTCCCTCTTCTCCACCGATGAATACTTTGCGACTTTCAGTGCTAGGTCCCATCTCTCATTGATTTGTAGTGGCACGCTGTGCCCAAAGTTTTTTTTTGATTTTGCAAGTTATACGAAAACTACCTCAAAAACTGGTAAGGTCTCCTCATCTAAACTTATAGGCAAGACATGGAATGTACAGTAGTACTCCACACAGTGTCTCACTGTGGAGCACTACTGCGATCAGACTGCGTTCAAATCTTGCGCTTAAATAGATAGAGACCGAGGAAAGCATGTAATTCTTGTGGGAGAATCACTAGTTCCCCCTGAACTGTCCTCATCGTTGAACGCGCGCTCCGCATTCATCTGATTAGCAGATGCCCACTTCGGACAAAGTGGTCCGGTTTGCAGGCACAGAGGCTATACCACTTTCGCAGCTCAAAAATACATGAGGAAGGCGCGACCCTCTCGCGACGAAGGCAACGTCCTGCCCCCTGCGCTACGCAACACCCAACATTCATTTCTATGGAGTTTTAGGTAAGGCGGTTGTAAGCAGTTTTTATTCCAAATGGTAAGGTTACGTGATATGGAAAGAGCTGATACGAGGTTCAGTGGATATGTGACAAGACAGTAGTCATCTGCCGCTCTGGTGGTACATATTGACGAGCAATGCCACGCCTGACAGACCTTGCTGTGCCTGACCTTCTGAAGTTCAGTGTTAGAGGGACGGGGAAATTCGGTATCGCCTACCATGTAGTCTTGCCTTCGCTTCAATTCAGATGAGTTTTGCTGCTCTGAACTGATGAACAACGGGATTTTACTGCGCCGCGCTGCACGGTACGCGACAAAATGCGATTGGCTTGCTCGTCTCCCGGTTTGCATGTAGGGCATTCGTAAGATTTCCCTGTTGGTTTATTCTTCACTATGTCACCACCTTGTCATTAACA